TGTAAAAATATATTTCGTCCGTTTGACGGACGTTGAGTCACTGCCAATTTGGCAATTATTAATTTTTTAATATTATTCTCCCGTTTTTTTTTAATCCATTGAAATGTGACGAGGACGTTAATGTTGAACATATACATGCAAATGTTATTTGAAGCTGAGCTTTCAAAAGAAATTGCATTATTATGATAAACAATAAAGGAAGCACCTTTATGTTTTCTGGTTTTACAACAATTTCAAATAGTCTAGCGCAGTTTCAAAACCGTTTTCATTGTGAGAACCAGAACAAACCTAATAAGTCTGATTTTTGCATGGAATTTATTTGGAACGCTAATTACGTTGTCACTATTAGTGGCTGGCGCTATAGAAATTTGCAATATCTCTCTAATATATGCTGTATTGAAAGTAAATCAGTGTTGGCAAACTCTCAACAATACCAACCCTTTAAATATAAAAGTAACAATTCTAAAACACTACAACAGTAAAAAAATTAATTTTCTGTCTAAACAAGTTGTAGGCATATTTCTGAGTTCATCATTACTTTGTATTATAACGGTCGGTATATCCATCCTCAACTCCTATTCACATACTATGCCACTGCCGGAACCTTAAATGGGAACGGGAATGGTACTTCGGGGTACAATATCCGGAACCTGAAGAAATCGCGAAAGCGCCCATCAGACACATTCTTGAATTCATCAAGAAAATCAATCTGATGGGATAGAAACTGTGAGGGGTACAATAATCCTAGAGCTTCAATACAAGTGGGCTTTGAACCACGCCCTAATTCAGATAGATAGATATCCATCCTCCCATCTCTACTGTTCCATTTTTGACTTTGAAATTTTGATCTAGAAGTTTTAACATTAAATTTCTAAGTCATCTAATATAAATTAATTTCTTTTTGATTCTCCAAAGCCGTCAGATATAACATGATAAGCTCTGTAATAATATTTTTGTGTTTAATGAATCAATGATGAATGGAACAAACTACTTTAAAAATATGCATACACGGTAAGTGTAGAATTGAATATTTGGCAAAAAATATTGATTTGTAATGCTCAATCCATTTTCTAGCATCTACTATAATCATTATAGCTTATTTTTGAATCTTAAATCCTGCTTCGACTCCTGATGAGTTACCCCCAAAGAATTATGTCATAATCAAGTTGAGAGTAGTAGTGTAGCAGCAAACTATACAATTCTCAAAATATCGTCAGTTAAAGATGGTCTTAATTATTATTGTAGAAGTGCTAACATCTGGGACGCTAATTTCGAACTCAAAGAATTCTGTTTCTGTTACGTGTGGGTTAACCCACGGCACTTAGGCCTGACTAGGCCCATTTTGCATCCTCTTAAGTAGATGGGCACCTCCTAGCTAGTGAGCCAGCCTACAGATTATATTATCCTGTGACAAAACAGATTTATCGTCTGCAAGCAGAAGACATTTAGAATATTTTAATGTGATTTTCAGGTCATTAATATAAAGGAGGAATAGCACAGGGCCCAGAACTGAGCTCCATGGAACATTTTTATTTGAAGAATATTAGAAGTAACACGGTTATGGTGGAACACACTGTTCTCTGTTTGACAGGTAAGACTGAAATAGAAGCAAAATTATTTAGATATTATACCATAGAACTCAAGTTTTTGAAATACTAATTCGGGATCTACACAGTCATTAATAAAATATTAATAAAATAACTAGAATAAAGATACATACCTACCTAATGCTTGACATTCTTTAGTATAATCTTCACAATTTAACCCCCATTTTTAATAATATTTTTTTTTTAACTTCAAATCCCCTTAAGCCCCATTTTTATTTAGATTTTTTTCAAACTCAATAAATTTCGTCCTCTTATAAAGCTTGATTTTGTCCTGAAATTTTCAAGTTGACATCATTTTTCGTTTTTGACTTACTGTGCAGACAAAAAACGAGACGACGCCGACGCGACGGACGGACAAAGTAAAACTCTAATACTTTTCACAGACTACTGTGTGAAGAGTATAATAGAAAAAGTGACATTTCAATATTTCACAGGTATAATTCGATTTCAAATATGTATAAAAGTAGATATACTCGTAGATTTAAACTTTTCATTGTTACCTACATGTTATTTTCTGTTTCTATGAAGTCAATCTGCTTGAATTATTGTGGCAGATAAACGAAAATTATGTTAATAATTAGGTATCTAAAATTTAAAAGAAATCTGTCAGAGCATTCCAAAGTTATAGTTATATGAAAAAAAATTAGACGATTCCCGATAAGAATGGGTAAACAGAAAAAGAGAGCTCCGATATAATAAATAAATTTGGTTATTTTTTTTTAGAATAGTCCCAGCTTTTTTATTTTACATATTTATAATAACAAGAAAACTGTATAACGCCCTGTAAACAATGTGTTTATATTTTCATTATAGTAGCTATATAAAGTTAGCTACTTTTTGAGTCCGTTCCTGACTAGCAAGTTCACACGCCTTGAGGAGTGTTGAAGTTCAACATTCAATTCCCAAGTTCCATGATATTTTCCTTTTTATTTTGTTTCTATTTGTGATAACTTCTTATAAAATGGAAAAACTGAATAAAACAGTAATTTTCATAATAATTTATTTTATTTAAAAAAAAAAGATTTTGATTTTTCATTGTGTACCTACCTATGTTATAATTATTTACAACAGAGTCATTTATTAAAAATATGTATAATATTCGTTTCGTTTCGTATGGGTTATAATCGTTTTATTTTCATGTTTGTTTAAAAAAATATAAGTGACAAAATAATGGATCAGCTATTTTAAACCCTAATCACCTTCTTATCCGGCTAACAAGAACAAAAAGGAGCTTGCTGAGTTGAGTAGCAAGCTTGTGTAGTAAGATAAATGACAGATCATATTGTTGCACATCTTACTCGTTATATAGGCAATCAGGGCCGCCGAGAGCCAGACCGGGCCCCAGGACAATTCTCCAGATCGGGCCCCGCGACAATTTTATATAAAATGAAATAACAAAAAGGTCTTCAAGCTAATCCTCTACTTAAATTTCTCTAAAAAAAAAAAACGAACTTCTGAAAGTAACAAAAAGTAACGAACACCACCGCTTTACTCACCGCTGCCGGGCCCCGAGAATTAGTCCGGGCCCCGGGAATTAGTCCGAGCCCCGGGAATTAGTCCCGGCTACCCCCCCTCTAGTTGGCCCTGTAGGCAATTATCTTTTGAAATTATCAAACTGAATCAACATAATTTACAAATTCCTTGAATATCAAATATTTTGCACAAGTTGGCAACATGGCAGCTTTAAATGTCTGATATAAATCTGGACAATTTCATATAGGCGCCACCTATTTAAACTACAATAAGCACTCTATTAACCTACTAGCTATTTGATCACTAGATGTCGCATCTTATTTCTCTCGCCATGTTTAGTCCAATATATAGTTCTGTTTTATTTTGGATTTCTACTTAGAAGGTAATTAACTCGAGATTATCAATATCAAATAATATAAAAATTTATAAAATGTTGCTGGCTTCAGTAAATTTGGTTATATTCTCTTTTAAAGATGTCGGTGATAAATTACTTTCTTTCAGATACGCTATCTACTAGTCATGCTAAAGATTCAATATCAAATATTACAGGTTTCTGCCAATACAGTAGAATATTTTTGCGCTTTGTTAATTTTTTATACAGTGACTTGTCACTGTACTTTTTTAGCAATGAGAATAAGTCTTGATTTAACTAGTTAGACTTAAAAATCTGTAAAAAATATCAATATTGTTCTTGATTGTTCCTTATTACCTGTCATAAAATTCCATAAAAGTAATACATGTCCATTTTTTATTATTGTAGGTATACTGTCCGTATGTATGGAATAAATAAATTTTTGGGGAAAACCTAAAACATGTAGATTTCTATTCTTAATAAGACAATTTATAGTGTTACGCAGCACCCTGTAGTAGCTTGTGGAATGTTACTCATCGCCCTACAGTGTGCTGCGGTCGTCATAAGTAAAAGTACAAGTAAAAGAAGATGGAATAGTCCAGAAATGTAATTAGACGTATCTCGGCCAGTATATCTGCAGCCTTGTCCATTTGATCCTAGAAGGCACATCCGAAGACACTATAATGTAAATTAAAGATTACATTGAACATCAAAGGACCTACATTATTATACCATTCTAGGATCAAACGTCTTTATTATCAGAGATGAAACGAACATGAGCTTAAGCCATTGATATCGTGCTACCGATTAACTTGAAATATTTGCGGCGGTTTAAATTTTTTTACGGATATTCGCTGAAAAGAAAAACAATTATTAAGAAATTTAAAAAAATTCAAAAGAAAAGGATATTATTGAAGGGTCCTAAAAACTTCTTTTTCGCAAATTAAAAAACTGCGCTGGAAGGAAAAGCATACTTGGGGTTTAAAAAAGAAGAAGGTAAAATTAAGCAAAACTGCCAACGCTTGGCAAGATCGCTAAAGCCAGTCTGTAATTCACCAGTATGCAAATTTCTAAGAAAAGATTTTGTTCAAAATTTAGTGAGGAATGCAGACAAAGGATTTTTAAGAAATTTTGGAAAGAAAGTAATTGGGAGCAACGAAAAACTTTTGTTTCTTTTCACGTATTAAAAAACAACGTTGCAAGGACGTCAAGTGAAACTTCTAGAAGACAGGGGACTTTTGTTTACTTTTTGAATAACGGAGAAGAAAAACTTCAAGTGTGCCGCACGATGTTCATTAATACGCTAAATATTGGCTACAAAACTGTGCAAGAATGGGCAAATAAAAGCTCTTACGGTATAGCAGCAAAATCTCATGTAAAAAACTACGGCAAAACTCGTTTCGTGGAAGGGTATCAACATCTAAATAATTTCTTTCAACAATTGCCACAATTACCCGCACATTACTGCCGCAAGGATATATTAAAGTTATGCTTAGACTTCTTTTCAAACGCTAAGTGATTTGTACAAAGTTTATCAAGAATATTGCAAAGAACAGGGGCGTCCTTCAATGAACAAAAAAGACCAGTGCAACACATGTTTTTCGTATAAATATAAAAATGAAACTGAAGAGAAGTGGAAAATTCATGTAGCTAATAAAGAAAAGGCTAGGAAGGCAAAGACAACAGACAAAGAATTAGCTGAAAAGGGGAAAATTGTGGCAGTAACAATGGACTTACAGGCAGTCAAACTAGCGCCATTTTTGCCAGCTAGAAAAATCTATTTTAAAACAAAACTGTGTTGTCACAATTTTACTTTATACAATTTGGCCACTCGTGATGTAACTTGCTACTGGTTTTCTGAGGACCAAAACAATCAGCTACAAGCTTCTACGTTTACTTCTTGCATAATAGATTTATTGGAGAAAAATTGTTTGACCCCTGACAAGTTGCCCATTATTATCTATTCTGATGGTTGTGGCTTTCAGAATAAAAACAATATTTTGTCCAACGCTATTTTAAACTTTTCCATCAAACACCAAATATTTGTATACCAGAAGTATTTAGAGCCGTGTCACACTCAAATGAAGTGTGACTCGGTTCATAGCATAATAGAGAGAAAACTACGTCATCGCGAAATACATTTACCAAGTGATTACGCTTACGTTACTAAAGATTAAATCCTAAACCCTATCATGTACAAATTTTAGACTACAACTTTTTCAAAAACTTTTCTGATTCCAAGTTTCTTCGATATTCTTCGATACGCCCAGGTAAAAAGACCAATGATCCCGTCGTCACTGATATTAAATGTATGAAGTACATCCCCAACAGGAAAATTCAGGTGAATTAGACTACGATAGTGACTATATTGATCTGCCTGTAAGACCAGAGATTTTGGACCCAATAAATGACTACCCACAACTTTTAAAAAGCCAATGTAAAATTAAAAGAGAAAAATGGAACCACCTTCAGGATCTTAAATCGGTGTTACCAAAAGATACGCATTCGTTTTACGACAATCTGTTTTTTGATTAGTTTCTAACATTAATTACTATTATTGACAGTAGTACTTAAACTTAGAACAACTTTTTGATTTCTCTAATATTATCAGTTATTTTTTTTTCTTTTTATATAATCCCAAGCAAAGATGGGGTTCAAAAATATTCGTTTATTTTAATAAAGCTATTTTGAAATTATTTTAATACTAATTATTTTGCTTAGGTACTTCAATTTATCCTATCCGAAAAAAAAAAACAATGCAAAAACTCCCTTTAGTTATTTTATTAATGTCAATATCTCCTATCTGACCTATATGTTTATATAAGAACTATATTGTACAAACAATTTTTAAATATAACAAAGAAAATAGTCCAAATGCACTTTTGAACAAAAAAAGTAGCAAAATATTCTTTTAAGAGCCGTAGCAAAGTCTTTTATCTTTCCTGTAAAGTTTGTCAATTATCAGATAGGAGCTTTTGCTAGGTCGCCCGCGATATCTAACTTGGAAATCCATAACACAACTTGTACAGTATCTTGAAAGTTTTAAATAAGAAATTGTGGTAATTAATAGGGGTCGATTTTTAGACTTCGTCGACTCCCAAAATCAGTTTTCGTTTATGTCGACCCCTGGGAGACGGATTTCGACCCCAAGGGTAAAAACATTTTCATTCCATCAATCTTCAAATATAAAATTATTGACTTTAAATAATGAAAGTAAGACTTTAAGTCGTCATGTCGATTACACTTTTCCGTCGGTCAGGCATCGCTAAGTGCGCATATCGTAAAATAGTCTTTATGTCGTCTCTATTTCATTCTACCTCGATGTTTGAAATCAATTTTCAACCTTTAAGTACAATAAAAAAAAGTAATTACCTACATTTTGACTTCAAGGTAATAAGCTTAGCTTGTTTATTTTGAAAAATTGGAAAAACCCTGGCAAATAGTCAAATTACCAGGCCCACAGGTTAGCCAGATCATAACCTGTCACTACCAACGGGCAACCAATTTTTTATATAAACTATTATGGATAGAAGAGTTATATTTGGAGAATTTAAATAAACGAAAATAGAGATAAAAAGGTAAAAGGAAAGTTTTATTTCGAAGTTGTAAAGGCAGGCAAAGCAGTGAAAGGAGACCACGAAAGTAGACGGTAGTCAGAAGAGACGAGTAGTAAGCAGTGGCGACAAAGAGCGGAGACAGGCGGGGACAACTTGACAACTAATAAGCGGATGGGTTGCGGATAGAAGAGAGAAAACATTTAATTATTTTTTTTATTTTTTTGGTAATATTTGGTATATATTATTTTTGTAGTCTTGTGGAATGAAAATAAAAAAATAATAAATCAAGATACAGGATGTTTCCATATCAGCAAAGTAAGTACAAAAAGGTTGGTAGGGTAGGTAAATTTTGCCAACCGTGTTTGGATTTGGAACTAACTGCCTGGGCTTTGGGGGGATATGGGTGGAAATAAAAAAACATTAAACTATAGTTTTTGTCTTAAAGTATAAAAAAAAGTAATGCACATGGTATAATAAACAAATTTATTTGTTTGATTCACCAACTACACACATTTGGCAGTGTTTTTGCTTTCTTACAAACTAACATTTTGTATTTTTCAAGTACTAAAATTACTTTAACAAACAACAAATTTAATAAACAGTAAACTCAATATATTTACATATACACAAAAACACAAGAAATAAAAACAAATCACAAGCCCACATCAAAATAAATAATTCAGAGATCGATCCTTTTATAGATCACAACATACCTGCCAATACGGGAAGATATTGGAACACTAGTATGGAAAATTTCGTGAGTGAGTTTATACCTAAAAAGAAAACGGCTAAAATATCTTTTATTTTCAAAAACAAGTATTAGAAATTAAAAATTAAAAAAACGACTTGAAAAACGTGCAGATGCCATCACCACATCTTAACCAAATTTATATGGGACCACCTCTGAGGTATCCCCTTACTAACAAAAAAAGAATCATATAAATCGGACGAGGTGGTAAAGCATTATCGCTAAACATACATAAAAAGTGAAGAGTTTGAGGATTTTCTCATGGACCCAATTATTAGATTTTGACCAAATTTATATGGGACCACCCCTGAAGTACCCCATTTCTAACAAAAAAAGAATCATTGAAATCGGACACCGTGTTAAAGAATTATCGCTGAACATACATTAAAAAAAATATTGCGATTAATTGAGAACCTCTTCCTTTTTTGAAGTCTGTTAAAAAAGAGGAGCAGCTTTTTTGACGTATTCCTTCACTGATAATATTTTACCTTTCATTCAAAATGCTTACCTGTTTAAAATATTTGTTATAGATTGCTGTAAAACATCATAACAAATAATGTGTGATGGTAAAGTTCCATTAGGAGGATAATTCGATATTAACCATCTATTAGGATTTTCATAAAACGAATCGGCTTCATCTATATAATTATCTATGTTGTTGAAATTGGGTAAACATGTTAAAAACCTCGTGGACACGTTAACATGTAAATGACTAAAATAAAAAGATTGAATAACCTTCTAATTCATTGCAGTAAATATTTATTACCTATATAAAGGAGTGGAGTGACAAGGCATTAAAAATAGTAAATGATTGTCAGTAAAATTCCCCTTTGAAATCTCTCTCAGTGAACTCATGACATCTAAAGTTCCTCTCTGATGCACCATTCCTAAATACCAAGCAGGGCCCAAATTTCCAATAAAGATCACTACAGCAACTAACCATACTAAAAATCTGAAATAACATTTTATAAAAGTATCTAGTTTTTATAGTTTATTTTTTAGTACAGTGTTTGTATAAGCGACCTGTGTGGTAGATTGTGTCCCCAAATTAATACCGCCAATTTTGATATTAAAAACTTTATATGTGGACAAGTCTATAATAAGGTGAGAAATATGATTTAAGGAAACCTGGAAAACCTAAATCTGCTTAGTAAATTTTGGGTTCGATTACCTGATCAGTATTTTTAGTTACCGAGAGCAGATCAGTATCATCACCAGATACATTTTGATGATGGGTGGTTTGGGAGTGGAAGATCGTGGCTGAGTATGAGGTAATGAGAAGGGCTAGGACGGAACCCTGTGGTACTCCAACACGTAGGGTAAATGGGTATGACAGGGCGTTGCCTACTTTGACAGCGATAGTTATGTCAGTAAGGTATTAGTGTATGAATCTTTAGATATTGAGGGGAAGACCCAAGCTTTTTGACTAATTCAGCATGCCTGACTTGGTCAAAAGCGTTTTGAACATCGAGAAGAACGGCTGAAGAGATTTGGAGAAAGTTTACAGATGTGACCGCAGTAGTATGAAGTGAGGAGATTGTGTCCTGAGTGGAATGATGAGTTCTGAAACTGTGTTGGAAGTGAGGAATTATGTTTCGTTCAACACAAAAATCACAGATTCTATCCTTAGAGCAGAAGTTCAAGGAATATATACTTGGTATTGATGTGAAGGAGATAGGACGGTATAAGTCTAAGAATTCTGGATATTCGCCTGGTTTGGGAATTAGAATGGTGTTAGAGGATTTCCAGGCAAGTGGAAAGTAGGAAAAAGAGAGAGACGTTCAGAAGTACGGTAAGGATGAAAAACATGTTTTCAGGAATATGTTTTTACCTGATTGACAGGCGTATTGAATGTTTTGGAAAGTGAATGGAGCAATCAGAGTTTTCGGCATCCAATGGAGGGGCTGAAGCGGCAAGTGTCTGATGGATATTGAGTTTGGTCTCGTGTCAGAAAATGTCGTCAAAAAAGAATCAAGGGTTCTGAAAATGGCTTCAAGACGTGTCTTGTGAGCTAAGCTTTCTCGTCGGGAGTTGTGTGTATTTCACCGTTCGATTTCGATGTGGAAATATGTTGATTCAAAATTTGTCCCAAAACTTGGATGCATCTCTATGGTCCAAATTTGAGGTGGTATTAATCAATTGTTGTTGTCTGTTTAAGTTTAATTGGAGCCTAATCAGTGCGTTAAAACGGTTCCATTCGGTTTTGTTAACAGTATGTCTGGAGTTCAGGTCAGTTCAGGTCAGATAATCTATTAGCAAGGTGAAAATGATTTGACCTGGGTAGTTGTAGTATGAGAATATTGTTAGTGGATCGTCGATTGATAGGTTAATTTTGAATAAATGAAGATCTGCTAGATGAATATTAAATAGAATTGAATTTTTGATTGACATAAGCATTTGTATGGCAAGTTTGGGATTTTTTTATGAACTGTTTGAAACCCTGGGTGGGAGTTTAGACTTATCATCAGTTATTGTTAAAAATTACATTTGTACTTTGAATGTAACCAGTTGAAGAATTAAACTCCTGTTAGCTAAACTGTGTTTACAGCATTCATCGTACGCCCTTAATGATAGAGTTGGAAGATTATCTGAATTTAAAAGGTTTTTGATCAAGGGTCTCTTCCGAGCGAAGCCTTAGGAATTTACAGTTCCAATAGTGGGGTTTATTGGTGACAAGAGAATATTGTTAGGTTTCCATGTCCCTTTATGGTACATGAATGAACGAAGATGGCCGGGACTAGCGACCCAAGTAATTTGGTGAGAAGTTCTTGACAATTAGATTAGATGAGATTAATCAGTAAAATCGATGTTTTTATAAAAATTTTGAGCTCTGATATATCAACTCAAGGAAGGAGTGGCGATTTGGAGGGTCATTGGAGCTACTTGTTCGGGTTTATGGGGTGGTTTTTACCTTTCTGGGAAGGTTATTGCCTCGGCAAATCAGACTTTTTGGCACCTCTGATTTTTTACAATAGAATATGGTAGTTAATTTTAACCACAAGGCTGATTTCTGAGGGCTAAGAAGTTGCAATAAATCAGAAAAAATATTATAAACAGGCCCGAAATTTAATTTCATTATGAATGCACCATTAAAAAATTTCAAGATGTGGAAAATATTGTTTTTTGTAAATTTCGGAATAGGTGCTGGTTTTGGAAGGTTTTAACATTGCAATAAATAATAAATAATAATAATAATAATAATAATAATAATAATAATAATAATATAAACAGTGAGGAGATTTCAATTAATAATAAATGGACCATTAAAAAAGAGTTATTGAAAACTATTTTTTTTTTGACAATTTCGTATAAAAAAGGTGGTTTTTAAGGGTTGGAACTTTACAATAGATTATAAATTAATATTAAATATATATTTTTAAATATGTGAACATGATTTTAATCAAGGCAAAGCTTAAATATATGGTTTTCAAATGTTTCATCAAAAGGTGTACTTTTCAACAACTAAAAACAAAAAGAGCACATCAGGAACATACAACTTTTGAAGCGAAGGGTAAGATAAGATTAATTACAAATTTTTACCATCAAACACTGTGCTATTTATTTAATTAATTAAATTAACTTACTTTGTAGCTTTTCTACTCCAAGCTGACAAAAATCTTGATGAGACATAAAATATCAAAGGCAACAAAGGAAGTAAAAACCTGAACTCCTTGTGAGGTAGAAAACTAAAAAGACATCAAATAAATTTAAAAAAAAATTAAAGTTAAGAAAAACAAACCTGTAGACAGTCACAGTAAATACAATAACTCCCAGCATAACCAGCTCATTGGGATGAATGTGTCTATTTTTTAATACTGTTATAGTTGCCCATAAAAATGGAAGAATTTGTATGCCGAGTATACTTGGTAAGCCAGAAGATAAGTACCAATGCCAGGGTTGGACTCCATAAAAACCACTCAAATTTTGTAGTAGATTGAATTTAAAAAATTCATAAGGAGTTACCACCAAAGATCCATGGCAGATACTGTCAAGTAATACTGTTAAAGCTAATACCACAATTCTGAAAAGAAACTTTTATTTTAACAGATTCAAAGGTATCAAAAGTAAATATTTACCCTGTAGGGATATATTTGGTTGTTATTTCGGAAACAACAGAATTTTTACTTAAACATAAATGATAAAAACAAATTGGCACCCATATTATCGCACTTGTAGGTCTAATGAAAAATAACAAAGCTGCTATCCATATAAATACAGATGATTCTTCTAAAATGTTAAAAAAATACATTTAAAAATTTGGAGCAGTAGATATTTTCAATTTCATATATACCTATTCCTTTTCCTGGCCAGGGAAATTTTGAAAGTCCTATAGTTGTCAATGCACATTCCAAAGTATTTATTAATGTTCTAGATCCAGTATAGAACCAAAACCACGAACTTGCTATGGAAAATACTGCCCACTTTCTAGTACCAGACCATTTATAAAAGCATAAATCCGCATATGAACTCAATATTGCCTGCAAAATTCTAGGGCAATATATCTAAAAAATATAGTCACTAATATAATAAAAACTTGGAATTCATACTGTTTATATTTTAATTGGTTATGGGCCCAGGAAGAGATTAATAATATGGCTCAAAAGTGTTTAGGGTTTAGAAAATTAGAAATTTCGAGTAGAGGCAATATTAGAAGAACAAGAAGTTCTTAAATGTTTGGTAGAAGATCCTCCAGCTGATAAAAGGGAGACATTAAAATTATATAAAATGGAAAGTAAGTCCAAATCGATGATAATAATACAGTATATCATAATTGGAATATATTAGAGATGAGACTGCAGCAAAATAGAGAAAAAGAGTACCTACTATGATGTTTTTCTTTTACAAAATCTTTTGACATTATGCTATGAAGTGGATGCCAATATGGAATCCCATCTTCTGAAGTTTGATAGTTTAGTCAGGAAAGTAAAGTCTGCTGGTGGTATAATTGAAGAAGATTAAAGTTCAATTTATAAACTTTCGGTTCCATCGCCGTTACCGTTTGTTTGACGTTGCAGTCGTCGTTGAACTTAAAACTTTGTTATGTTTGAATGTACAACAGCGAACAGTGACAGCAACAGAGAATATAAGTGAGCAAATGTGAGTGTTAACTGCAACTGCAAGTTTATAAATCCGCCTTTATTGGCATCCATTATTTTACTCATATTGCCAGAGTCCTATGAAGGGTTAGTAACAACAATTGAGACATTGAATGGTAGTAACATAACTCTGGACTTTGTTAAAAGTTGAATCTTAAAAACATGAAAATCAATAACAATGACTATGTTTTTTGTCAGATGTGCTTAATATACAGTATCGGCTATTGAAAACCTTCCAATACGGTTTGCTAGTGTCGAAATGAAAACTACAGAGACTTTGCAATAGTTCGAAAAGGAAACGAATATTACCAACGTTGCCAACGGCCCGGCCGCGCGGGGTTATGGGGATATATGTCGTGTGCCTATTTGCAATTTACATCACACATCTCAGAGCGCAGACAGACGGTCAACAGTCACTAAAGTCACCATACACATATCGTGCACCAAGAGTTATCCCCACGAAGCCAGGCGGCCATTTACTGGCAACTTTATTTTAGTTTTCTGCCTGCACTAATGCTAACTTTATAGTTTTCGCTTCGATGCTAGCAAACCGTATTGGAAAGTTTTCAATGGCCGATACTGTACAATAAAAATTTTGAATTCAAACATTATATTTTAATTACAATAAACTAATTGAAAATATTGGTTTAATTTACTTACTAAAACTTCTGCTGAATCTAGACCAAGAACTTGCAAAATTTTATATAAACCAGCAATTATTATAGGGGGAACGTAGCTCCGAATGCCTTTTGTCCATTCCCAAGTTATGTACCCATATTTAAAAACTAGGTTATGGGCAACTTCTAGAATCTGCCAGTACTCGTCAGGAACATAAAACGTTTGTATTAAATATACAGATAAAAGTCTAACGGCTAAGAATATCAAGAAAACGTCCAAATTCTTCATTCTGTTACTCCAACTTAAATAGGGAAATATTGAATTAAAAGTTTTAAATTTTTGGTTACCAACATGAGAGAAATATGCGGCTTAACTAGAAAACCTAGTCTATAAATAATTTTGAACTACTATTGTTACGTTATTATGATATTAATAGATTCAGTTGATCTCATATATTTTCAAAAATATAGGGTTATGAAACTGTTGTGTTTGGTTTGTTTTTCTTAAGTGCTGCCATCACACAGTTTGTGAATGCACCAATTTGTAGACCGAGTTCCGAAATTAGCCAGATAAGTTTACTCCAAAATTTGCGCATTGATGAAACACTAGGGCCCGTATTTATAAACAAAACTCAGAGCTATATCAAGCTAGCGGGCACTCTGTGGCGGCACCATTCAAGACCTGGCGGGTTTTTTGTAGCTTTTTTGTTACACTATTTGCAAATTTGTAGCTTAGCCCAGGTCCGAAAAAACAGCGGATCCGCTAGCTTAAATTTTCATAAATTCCATAATAGCGGCACAGATTCTCAGACCCTGCTGGTTTTTCGTAACTTTTTTGTAGCTTTTTTGTTACGCTAGTCTCCCTTTTGTAGCTTGTACTGAACCTGAGAAAAGCGCGGATCCGCTAGCTTAGCGGATATTTGTAGCGGCACCAGCCCGGACCCGGCTCATTTTTTGTAACTTTTTTGTAGCTTTTTTGTTACGCCTGTCTCGATTTCGTTGCGAGGCCTGAACGTGAGTAATAATCGTTTCTCCATGCGCGTGAGAGAAAAGTGCTTTAACTTAAAATCAAGTTTCGGCCTCTACAAGTGCAACTCGATAGTGTGACTATCTGTAGATAGATGGCACCAGTATTGCATTTGACGAAATATGGCCATCTTCCATCCAATATATTTTTGAGAAATTTAGATATAATCTCAAAATCAAAGTATGTGCTTTTACTATACGGAGAATGGTCGCACTGCGCAGCTTTCTGAGTGCCTTTTAAAAGGAGATAGAAAACTCCGCCATTTTGAACCCTTATTACGTGTTGTCTACATCTTGGCGCAATATTTTTAATAGGTGCGTTTTAATCATCCGCTTCTGCTTCGGAATTGTCGGTTTTCTTGTTTTAATCTGACAGGTTAAAACGACTAAACCGACAATTCCGGAAGCAGAAGCGGATGATTAAAACACACCTGATATTTTGCTTGTTGCTGTCAGTGTCAGTGAATATTATTTTTGAAGTCACACTTTATTGCTTAAGAATCAGTTAGCTCACTCGGACCGGTTGAAAGTTCCAAAATAACATCCACTCCAGGGATACAAATTCAGGATACGCAGAAGACTGCTGTTTAATTATAGGCGGTTGTCATATATTGTATTATCCGAGTTGCACAGTTGCCGCGTTTGAGAATCCACATCGGATGCATCTGAGATGTAAAAAATCTTTGATCACGTGATTCAGTATACGTAAATGTAATGGGACAGATGTGTCCGATGTGGATAAAAAAACGCTCGAGATGTAAAAAATGCATCCGATGTGGATTCTCAAACGCAGCAAGTGTATAAACTGAAACATTAGGTGCGTTTTATTCATCCATTCTCTAGTAGAAAAAGTTTGAACAGAATTTGCAAACGCAATAAAACGATAAAATTGTCATCTGTCAAGAATGTCAAATTTAAAATCATCGTTTGATTTATCCATTATCCCGCCCACAGATATAGTTAATATTAATTTAAAAATAGAAATATTATTACAGATATTTCGAAGTATTGCAACTTAATAATCATTTGCTATTAGCTGCACCAAGAATTCCAGTTGACATTATTAGATTAATTATCGAGAAGTATGAAGTATAAAATTATTTTGTAATATTTTTAATAATTCAAAATATTTACTTCTAGTATGACCAATGATGTTATAGCGAAATCTCAATTTGGTACATACATATGTAAACAATAAATAAAATATGCTGTCTTTGTTGAACCAGAAATATTGTCCACTTTCATCCTGTACAATTTCTTCCATTTTTTACAACCTGAATCAGAGTCAGAGATCCAAAGCCCAATTGAATTACGATTTACGAATTTTACGATGACAAAAAATAATTGAAAATTATAAGTATTATAACTCATAACCTTACTAATAAAGTATGTTTGGCACATAAGTTTGATATACCAATACCCCCCACTTTTTTCGTTCCCTTCATTCGGTCAAAATTCACCGAATGAGAAGTTTGAGCGGAATGAATCAATCGATACAATAAAACGCTCATTCTGTGCAGACTTTCCACACCGGTGGCAAAAGATTGAGCAATAAAACGCGCCAAATGAGATCAAAAGTGCCGACGCAGAGTGAGCGATCTGATTCTTTAGCTGTAAACTGTGTCACAGGGTTCAAAATGGCCGCGCCCTATGTTGGGCGTGTCGGACCTCTCTCTTGCCTCGTGCATCTCAAGCCTATTAACAAGCATTTTACCCCACTCCAGTTCAATTGGTTGTTCCTAGTTCTACAAAAAGTTGTACAATCAGTTATGTGGTTGTACGCACTTTTAAAAAAAGTTAGAAATGTACAATTTGAAGTTGCTAAATATTTATGAAAAATCTGGTATATCATAAATCGTATGCATTAAAATTAATAAAACAATAATGTTTAAATTTAGCTTCATTCGCGACCAATGAGTACACCGTTTTACATCGAAAACATTTTTTAAACTGGAAAAATGAAGAATTTTAAGCATCGGGAAGTAGTAGACTAATTAGTGGTGTAGTGTATTAGTTTTTCTATGTGGTGTACAATCGAACGTAAAAGTGTACAATTTTGACATTAGAAGTTGTACAATTCAAAAATCCCTAGGAACAACACTGGATATATAAATACAAACAGCAAACCAAAACATTTTGTTTAAAAATTTTGAAGTTAGTAGGAGTAGGAGTGGGTCAATTATTTTAAGCTAAAAAATGGAAAATGTCGAAGTCTATTCTATTGCTAGTTCAGATTCTAACAGTACAATTATTGACGAAAGTTGGACAACACAGTTTCCTAGTAGTACTTCTGAAAATAGCATAAATAAAAAAACTAACAAAAATATATACGATTTAAGCGAATTTGAAAACGATAACGCATGTGAAGCACTGTACGAAAATTCAAAGCAATTTTTTGAAAGCTTTAAAAGTGAAGATATCTTGGAAGAACTTTCTAAGAAATATTCAACAAACCAGTCTCAATCAAATGATAAAAGTAATGATATCTTGGAAGAACTTTCTAAAAAAGATTCAACAAACCAGTCTCAATCAAATGATAAAAGTGAAGATATCTTAGAAGAACAATCTAAAAAATATTTAACAAACCAGTCTCAATCAAATGATAAAAGTGAAGATATTTTGGATGAACTCTCTAAAAAATATTTAACAAAACAATCAAATAATGAAATTGTCGAGGAAATTGTATTATCTGATTCTTCTAGTGAAACTGAATGTAATATTAATCATAGCAAGAAAGATGTTTCAATGGAATTAGATAAAAATAATACAATATTTGAAAATTGTTTTTCTGAAAATACTAACAGTTTTTTACATAGAAATCAAATTGTGGATTATAATAAATTGTCTCTTTCTCCAGTAGCAAGTTGTTCTAATGAAGACATTTATAACAAAAATAATTTTCCTTTAAAAAGAACTTTTGAATCAATTTCTTCTGATGAAGATTGTGGAAAAAAAACTGAAAAGAAAGGTAAACGAATAGCAAATAACGATAAGAAATTAGCAGCAGAAGAGAAGAAAGCAATGAAAGCCATAGAAAGAATGAACAAAAAAGAACAGATAGAAAAAGAAAAAGCTCTAAAACAGGCTCAAAGATTAGTTGATAAAAGTCGTAAAGATTCTTTAAAAGTATTTTATATTTTTTTTACATTTTTTAATAAAATATGAAACTTCTTTCCAATTTTAGTTTATGGTAGTTTATATGGATGATACTATTTTTAACAACAAAGAATATGGTGATTATTTAAAAGAACACTTAACGAGTAAGGACATACCATACATGATGAAAACATCTTTTCCTGGAATGATATCATGGGCCCGAAAGGTCCTTGCAATTGAAAATACGGTAATACTTATTATTTTAATCAACAAAATTTTGCAGGCTTATAGCTAGTTTTTGAAAATCATAAGTCCACTACATCTGTCAAGGCCTGTCTAGTATAGTGACCATTTTATTGTTTCACATATTTTTTTGGAGGCACATTATGCCTTACGCATATCAATAAATGTCATAATGCAATTATCTTTTACAAATTTGTCTATATCGAGATTGATACAATTTTGGCTTAGACCATATTAGGACAAGATTCCCTGATGATTCAATTTCTCCCGGGCTATCTGGCTTGCATTTTTATGGTTTTTTTTGAGAATGCTGTGCAAATGGTTAGTCTGAAGTGAAAAATTCTTGTCCATTCTTTAGAGGATATTTGTGACAAAAAAAAAACAGCAAAAGTACTACCCTCGTATTTATAGTTGAACCTCTAAAACATTGTGAAGAGAGGCATGTCTTGTTGTTAAAGACTACACTCCCATGTTTTGCACTGCTTTAATTTTGCAAGCACTATTATATCTGAATAAATGCACTTTACAATAGTTTTTTGTTAGCTTGACAAGGGAATGGTGAGCACTCAAAATCGGCTGATGATTGTAAATTTCATCAAAGTTGCCTCCATTTGGTTATACTTACAATTTTCCTGGAAAACAGAAATTTAGTCTAGTTCATGTTCCCCAAAGTGTTTATTTTTAATGCGAATACTATACGATTGAGACGCGATTAAAGGCGTTCAATTATAGAACCAGAAATTTGGTAAAATTAAAAGTTGTAGAGTGCTGCGAATCGTATCCTAGCTAGCTGCACTAGTAATAAAAATTGTTTTTTGCTAATAAATTTCGAATAAAAGGTTAGATGGAAAACTTTTGTATATAAAAAGCTTTTCTTGCAAGAAAATCTATAGCACAATCAATATCAACACAAAAACCCTGTGCTACTTCGGTGATGCTAGAAAAACTGTTTAATATTGGTACTTGTTGCAGTTTTTTCGAAAAAACTACCAGAACTAACGTTTTTTGGTTATCTTCATTATATAAGTTTGTAAAGCAAACTTAATTTGAGCTAAATCCGTTGGTTGCGAAGATATAGCCAGTCAAAGATAAACATTATTATTTTCCAAAAAGTGAAAATTTATCGGTAGGATCATTTTCCAAGACACATACCGGCTATTTTAATGCTCCTAGAGAAAAGTCATGGCAAAAGAATTTGTCAATGTCATTACGGTGTTGCCAGTTTAATTTTTTCCCCAGATCTGGGGGAAAATATGGCCTGGTGGAGCATATTGCTATTTCTACTGTGGAGGGTGGCGCATTTTTTAAATTTGTAACAATTTTTTATAACATAAAACAAACGATTTTGGCGCGGCTACCGACGTACTATTATTGCACAATATGTTACCCAACATTTCCATAAAATTTTAGCCATACTAATATTGATATTATCTATTGGTCAACTGCAAATTTATTTTCCAATTTTGTAAAATTATTTTAGGAAGTTAAAAAATCAGAATATCCAGAGAAACATTATGCTGTAATTATAAAACCTGCAGCATTTGGAAACTTGTATTCATGTATAGAAAGTATAAAGGAACATACTGATTTTAAACATTTAAGTATTTTTGTTTATGGTCAATCGAAACCTACATCATCCCAAGAAGATGAAATCATTGATATAGAAATGTGTTTTCCCACTTACTGGCAGTTTGTGGAAAACAAGATACAGCTAGGGAATTTTATATTTATGTTAACCAAGTCTATTTCACAAATTCCATACAAGTAAGTGGTTTTTATAAATAGAAAAAGGTTAAAAATGCAATTAATTCTTTTTTAAGACTGGAACAAGAAGCAAAATACAATCATCTCAGTGAATATATGGAGAGCTATAATAAAAAAAATGTAAAAGTTGATAAAGATGGAAATGGTTTAGGACAGTTATGGAGACAAATGTTAACTATGTTTCCATTGGTTCGTCTGGAGACTGCAGAGGCCATAACAGCAGTCTTTCCCACCCCAAGATCAATGTTTGAGGTAATACAAAAATACTGAATTTAGTTTTAGTGCTTGACACATTTTATTTAGGCATATGAAAATTGCACGGAGCTGGGCGAACAACTCATTCAAAATTTACAAATTCGCAGAACGCATGGACCTTTAGCAACCAGCAGAAGAATCGGTCCTGAACTTAGTAAAAAATGTTATAGGCTTTTTACATCAAAACAAAACCGTTTATTATAAATTTTCTATTATTTACATTATGTGCATCGAAATAAGTTTTAATTTTTACAGTATGTGTATTGAGTATTAAGAAAATCTAACGTTTGTGTTGCTGCTTTTAAGTTTTATTCTCCAAGTGTTTTTTCCAATCTAACCATCCTCCAGGATAATTCCTAGTCCTGTAACAAAATATGACAATGAAAATAGTGTGATGTGTAAGCCCACTTAAAAATTGACAGTCCTATGGTACATGGAGTCCTGCCTAATTTAAAGCACGTTTTTATGGACTTTATGTTCTATGTACATAAGGGTTAAAAAAATGGTGAAAATTTCAAATTCAATTCTGTACCTTAGAGGTAAGAATCGTATCCCCAGTTTTGTATTAAGTGGAATGCATTCACTAAAATACCTAAAGCATATATTTTTTAGTGACAGTAAATCCTATCTAGTTTTTGGAATAGTACGTTAAAAAAAATCTGATGTGTTCAGCACATGACTTTCCTGTCATACCTACCTAAGGTTATTTTAGGCTTTTTATTCTACATAACCTATTGTATTTTAATGTAAATTTAATAAGATTATCCAAACTCTTATTGTTCTGTGTGTTCCGCTAAAGTCAACTAATTCTAGAAAATTTCCAACCTAGTATTCTTATGATTTGATACTTTTTAAAACTTTAGAAAAAAACATAACTTCTCTTTTATTTACAACGATATAAAAACCGTAACGAATTGTAAAACATGATATAACTAGCTCTTACATCACATTCATTCAAAATTCAGAGAATAACAATAATTAATCCTCGGAGTTTTTTGTCATATAATCTTAAATAAAACTAGGATTCCTAGGAAAATGTCATACGAGACCAAAAGCGTAACTGAATGAGGATATTACTGCTGTCTAGATCCTCATCATACGTGCCAGTTCTGAGACTGGCCACAACTCGACGTATCCAGACAAAAAAGGGGCCCGGGCACCCACTTGCTCTGGAAAGCAATCTCGAAGAACTAAATGGGGCAATACTTGAGGCATATGAATCAAGCTGCCCCGTGGAACCGTCATCTACCAAACTTACGATCCGAAGTGCGGAAGCTCTATAATAGGGCCAAGCACAGCGGAGATTGGCAGAGCTTACTACCTACAATAAAGAAATCAGGAAAGCTAAATGTAACAGCTTTAGAAAATTCTGCGAGGATATTAACTCTACACCTGCGGCAGCGAGACTGCAAGGGGCCCTGGCAAAAGGAAGAGTTGATACAGTTATGGCATTAAAGAAACCAAATGGAAGCTTCACGGAGAGCGAGGAGGAAAGAGCTCGCCTCTTACTCGAAACTCACTTTCCTGGAAGCACACCTTTTCTAATAAGGGACACAACTAAGGTAAGCAGGCCCCCAAGAGAGGCCGCTGTAGTGGCCAAACACATATGCAGCAGAAATCGGTTAACGTGGGCCGTAAACACTTTTGAACCGTTTAAGTCTCCAGGTGTGGATGGAATATTTCCTGCCCTACTTCAGCAGACACAGGAGGAATTACTACCACACATAATCCGGCGATCCCGGAGCAATCTGGAGCTGGAATATATATATATATACCAGAAGCATGGAGAAGGGCCAGAGTCACCTTTATTCCAAAAGTAGGGAAAAAGGATACCACACATCCTAAATCCTTCCGACTAATCAGCCTCACATCCTTTGTATTAAAAACAATGGAGAAGGCTGTTGATAATTATATCAGAACGGAAGTCCTGGAGAGGGTGCCACTCCACCACGCGTACCGAGCAGGACGATCTACAGAAACTGCCCTGGTACAGTTGACTGACGTAATCCAGGATGCACTGACAAACAAGGACATATAGAAAGAGCTTCTGACAACACGCCACACGAATCTGTAAAAAGAGCACTTGTATACAGAGGAGTAGATAACATCACATCCAGATGGATGGCTCAGGTGTTATCTACGAGAACTACAGAGACACAGATAGGGCAGGACACCATCTCCATCTGCACAACCAGAGGATGTCCACAAGGAGGAGTTATATCCCCACTAATGTGGAGCTTAACCGTAGACGAACTTCTATGCAGATTGACTGACCTCTGCATACCCTGTCAAGGTTATGCCGACGACATAGTCATATTTGCTAGTGGCAAGTTTAGTAATATTCTGTGTGATATAGTCCAACGAGGACTAGAACATACCAAAAGATGGTGCTGTGAAGTAGGACTTAGTATAAACCCTACAAAAACAACACTAGTAGCCTTTTCAAGGAAAAGAAAACTTATTCTCAAAACCGTTAAATTAAACGGGATAGATATAGAATGGAAAAATGAAGTCAAATATCTAGGCCTAACCCTGAACAACAAACTTCTCTGGAACACACATAAGAAAGCGATCTCGAAGAACTAAATGGGGCAATACTTGAGGCATAAGTAGTAAATAAGACCACAAAAGCCCTAATTGTATGCAGAAACATTGCAGGTAAACGATGGGGATGTAACCCAAACATACTGCGATGGATGTATACTGCAATAGTGAGACCAATCATCACTTACGGGGCTATAGCCTGGAGTAACAGAACTAGTTTAGCTACTACGAGAGCTAATATCTCAAAAGTACAAAGACTAGCCTGTATTTGCATTACTGGTGCAATGAGAACCTGTCCTAAGGCCGCAATGGAGGTGATCTTAAACCTCATTCCTCTACATTTGATGATAGAGAATGTGGCAAAAAGGACACGATATAGAATGATCAGGAACGGAGTAATCCGACGAAAGTCTACTTGCTTCAGGACTAAAGATAAAGATACCTGGGACATGCCTCAGGATGAAATGCTAAAGAAGTACAGTTTTGTGAAAAACTTCAAAACCACAGAGCTGGGCTGCAAGGAAGAATGGAGCCAAGAATCTATCGCACTTGCAACCGAAAGACGTGCTATTCAGTGGTATACGGACGGTTACAAAACCATAGAACGAACTGGAATAGGAGTATATGGGCCGAGAACCAAGCACTCCGAAAGCTTAGGAAAATACCCAAGCATCTTCCAGGCGGAAATTCACGCCATAGAAAAGTGTATCCAGTTTAACATCGAGAGAAACTATCGTAGACAAGAGATTATCATCATGTCCGATAGTCAAGCAGCCATCAAAGCGCTGAGCTCTTACATAATCAGCTCACAAATGGTCTGGAGATGCCTAGAACAACTGAATGAGCTAGGCGAGAAAAAGAGTTACTCTCACTTGGGTCCCGGGACATAACGGGGTACAGGGTAACGAGATTGCAGATAGTCTTGCAAGGAAAGGGGCTCAAACACCCTTGTATTCTGCGGTATCAGCAGTAACATAATATTAGGAGAGATTAAAAACGAATTGGGCAGTAGAACCGATAATTTGAACAATCTCTCTTGGGACTGAGACAGGCCAAGATACTTCTGGGTGAATATAACCAGAAAAGATCAGAAGCCTGCATCTGCCTGAGCAAGAACAGGCTACGTATTGTAACAGGGATCCTTACCGGGCATTGCCGACTAAAAGGACACCTAAGTAAACTGAGAGTAGTAGAGGATAGTGAGATATTTCCTTAGTGGACTGGCGACAGTAGAGGGCACAATAGATCTTTTAGGTCGCAGTATATTAACACCCCATTCCCAACATAACATAACTCGAATTTTTGGGTTTAAGACTAGCTGCGTCATTAAAAATCTGCGAACTTTTATGTATATAATATATGAACCTGTCACAAATTAACAATTATTTTAACAAACTATTCTTTATAATAACTATGTTGAAGGGTTTTAATTTCAATTTACTGTATTTATTACAATAATTGATAAAATAATAAAGATTACATGAAGAATTTTAAATTTTTCTCCCTTTTCACCCTTAAAAATACGCAATGATGCATTCCCATTTAGAAAAAACTCTGATGGATACTCTACCCGCATTATAAGTGAAACACAGGATTCCTCGTCTTTAATAGTCTGCAAAAATATTAGAAGATTTAGTTTATATAAATTGACAGCTTTGAGCCATTTCAACTTGGTGAAATAAATTGAGATATATTTACTCAAACCAAAAATAAATATGCCACAACCATTTTGTATAAACTGTAATTGGTTCTGTGATACTTTGTCCAGACAAGGATAATAAACAATATTGTAAAAACTAAATGTTCATAAAGTTTTTTTTATCATTTTAAAGTTTTTTGCTTCATTATTTAAAGTTGTTCTAATATCATCCAACTCAAGTCTCGTTGATCTCTCAATATCAACATGCCTGGCTTCACTGTAAAACAGAATGGCAGTAATTTTTGAAGGATTAATAGTAAGATTGTGCTTTTTTGAATACTATTAAAATCTGCAAATTTCTATTTATCAGATTGTTAGCATTGTGTATATATAGGGGTTCAAAAAAACTTAGTAACTGGGTATCATCAGCATAAAGGTGTACTTGTCTCTCTTCAAGTACTTTTGGTAAGACTAAAGTGTATACTTTAAAAGGAATATATGTTATTTACCTTGCCGAAGAAAATTCTTCAAATAAGAGTTACTTGTGATGTCATTCTCTATAATTTTTGACTTATACATGGTCCTTATTCGAGAAATTTGACAAAAATTGTAAAATTCAAATTTTTAAGAAAATTGTTCAAATAAAAGTTGTTTGCGATATCATTCTCTATAACTTTTATTCAATACATGATTTTTCTAAAATGCACCGTAATGGAAAAATTTGAGGAAAAGTGAAAAATGTCAATTTCTCAGTATTTTCATGGCAATGAATATAAATAAAAAAATGTTGCAAGTACGATGCATGATATGTTGGAGAATGTATTTATTTTATTTAGTTCATCCTCTACACATTTACAGGAGTAGTACAAAAGGTTATAGAGAATTACCAGAAAAAGCCTATAACTTTAGGTAAGACAGGAAAGTTATGTGTTGGATACATCAGATTTTTCAAAGAGTGTTAAAAATGGTGTTTCCAACTTTGAGTCTCATTTTCTCCAAACTTATGAATTCAGACAATCACTTATTCAGTCTATTATAAGAAAAAAAAATAATATCTTAGTGAATAATTTTCCAGCAAATTATTTTAGCAAATATACATATTGAATGTTTTTGAATTCCCTTACTTTTTGTATCCTAATTGGATAGCCGCATTTTGTGCTGTTGCACTTCTACGACCAGATCTACATGAAAAAATAATCAACGAATCTTTTTTTGGTTTTTCTGTGCCATATTTCTTTTGAAATTCTTCATTTGATAGCTCTTTCAGAGCACCTTCTACTTGATCCACTGAAAGAATGTTTAATATTTGAAATTATTATAATAAAAGGATGGAGAATAAAGGATACATATTTAAGAAATACCTTACAAGGTATATTGACACTTCCAGGAATTACACCAGTGTTTTGAAGTTCTTCCGGTTCTCGTACATCGATAATGAAATCATTTTTGCTTCTCTTTTTTCCAATCTGTTCTACTTCGGTGTAGTTTGCTTCTTTCGGTTGGTTTAATTCACTAGCCTTTGATAAAAACCGTATGGGCTGCTGTATTGAATAATTGGGAATATCTGTAAAATACCAAAATTGAAACCCATCGAAAAACTGCGTTGTTAATGTTACTACATTTGATTGAACCTAAATTATTTAAATTAACTGGTATCGGTGAGATAAACGCTTGCGCTAATTTAAATATTGTGTAAATTTTTCGAACCATTTTTCCTCCATATGTTCTTGCCAAGGTTAATTTAGTTTGTTTTTGTTTATTTATTTTCGGTGTCAAGTGTCAAGATAATGTTGGCAACTCTGAATTTGTGTGATATGTGACCAATCATATATATTTATAAAAATTGCTCATCAATGTAAATCTGCATTGGGATTCCATCTTTCAATTCGCACGTGCTGGGACAACTATCTTCGTTCCACAGAATGCGATTCGTATGCAATGTCTCTCTCTTCCATTCGTTACGTGTTGAGTACACATATAAGAATCCCTGGGGTCTATTCTGTAACAATTTCTTTATATTTGACGGCCTTTAAAAATATTGGCGGCCTTTAAAAACATTTTCGTATTCGTTAATTTACTTCTGTCATTATTTAAACTGATTTCTTTAAGATAGTACTCTAATGTATTTTAAAGATCCGTTTAAATAATGACAGAAGTAAAGAAGAAAATATTTTTAAAGGCCGTTAAATATAAAGGAATTGTTGGTTATACAAATCCTCAAATTTCAATTCAAAACCGTTAAAATTTAAAGGCGAATTTTAACATTCCTTTAAAAATGGAGAAAATTTTAATTACATAATGACAGAAGTAAGTTAGTGAATACAAAAATATTTTTAAAGACCGCCAATATTTTAACGGCCGTTAAAATATAAAGGAAGTGTTACAGAATAGACCCCATAACCTCTAAAATTAAAAATTCGGGAAATTATTTTTTTCAGAATATTAAAATGCTGAAATTTTATTTTAAACGTGGTAAGCAATCTATATAACTTATGCATCATTGCAGGTGATAGGTGACAGATAAAACTTCACATTCACCATCTTTAAAAATTTGAAAATATTTCTGGCACCAAATAGAAATATTATATTTGTTCAATTAATATTGATACTCAAAGTCTTTTCTTTGGACTTGAAAAAAAATTGCAATTTTATATATTTTTTAGAAACCCTTCTTTTTAATTTTTAAATTAATATGGACCTTATTGTCAAAAAATGGCATTACGTCATCAGAGCAGAGGATGAAAAATGGTGTAGATGACAGTCGGGCGTTGTAGAATATTTATTTTTTTTATCCGGCCTGTTTTTTACTATAACACTACAGTTCTAATTTAGTGCAATTTTAGTATAATATATTTTTAAATAATTTATATAAACTTAAGAGGTAAGTATTTCTAATTTACGAAAAAAAAAAAAAAAAAAAAGTATCTAACGGTAGTCTACAAATAATAAACTTAGCATAATTTCCTTGAATTTTGAACCTTAAAAATCGGGTATTTATGAATGCTTTGTATCAAAACGAGCACTTTATTCCTTAACTGGACTTGTTGTTTAGAAGTGAGCCAAATAGCCGACTCAAAACAATTGATTTTTCGCTGAGCACAGAAACGCATGTGTAGTAGTGTAATGTCCCCCAAAACGAAACGTCTTTTTATTCTTATGACTCACGAGATTCCATAAGCGCATTCCTAGTCAAAATGGACGTGATTTTAGATAGACCAAAATCAAGTATGGCAGACCGAAGGGCAGAATTAGAACGCAAAAAGGCCAAACTTCAAGCCCTACGCGAAGAAAAGGATCGTCGTCGTAGAGAAAAGGAACTTAAAGAAGTTGAGGAGGCCGCCAGCCGTACTCTATTGGGTGGAGGCGGTGATAGGAAGGAGCTGGACGAATTAATGCGAGAAGTTGGAGTTGCACCTATTTCTGAAGTGTATTCTAGTATTTCTAGTGCTAATTCGCTTACTCCAGAACCAAGTAGGAATCACACACCTGACACTTCATTGCAGCCTAATAGTCTACCCAATAAGTAAGTTAACAGATTTTATTTAAAATATTTAACGTTTTTTTATATAAATCAGTTGCCTTTACTTTATTCCAAGTCTATCTTGAGCTTTATGTCTTGTTATTTTGTCATTCTTTATTTCTGTGGTTCGAGGGCAAAACTGTATGTCAATGTTTGCTAATTTTAACATTATACATACCACCTGCTATATTTTATGCAAAACGATATGCGAATATTTTTTCTGTAAGAATGTTCAAAACCAGAGATATTTTTGCTTAAATAGCAGATCAGATACAAAAAGAGTGACTGCAGGGGTACCGCAAGGTTCTTCCTGGGTTTCAGCCTTTTTACATGTAAATTAATTTTCTCAATATTTGTCAACAGCCAAATCTATCCTTTACATTAATGACACAATTTTATATCAGAAGGTAGGGTCTGATTACAATTAGAAGAACACAGCTACGTCATCATTTGGCAAATTAATTAATTGGTTATCGCTACCTACTGGGGGTTTAGTGGAGTGTTACTTATTTTTTATTTATTGATAGTTATAGATAATATGTATTTTAAATTCAAAGTAATGGTTATGACATAGCGGTAGTTCTTCTAATTGTAATCGGACCCCTCCAGATAATATTGAGCTACTGAATAAGCAAAAAGGAGGAAATTTTGGATAAAACAAAACTCTATCTCTAAATTAATCTAAAACAACATCAATCAACCTAAGAAGAAATAGATATTGATAAAGATTAAAATGTTTGGACTTTTATGTAGATAAAAAGCTAGAATGGAAACAACACATTGCACATTCTTTCAAAAAAGCTTCCTAGCCTAAATATCTATATCAGAAAAATCCGAAAAAGACTGCTGTGGAAATTTATAAAACTGCCTATATGGGGCTGTTCCAAAGTCAAATTTCCTATGGAATCCCATTATGGAGAAATTCAACAGAGAGAATCTTTATTTGCCAAAAAGCAGTGGTTAGAGCTATCGTAGATGCCAAAAGCACAGAATCATATAAACCACTACTCAAAATTCTCCATATACTTACTGTTACTGGGCCTACAGTTGTGTTTATTACATAAAATCTAATAGACATATACAATATGTTACCTTTCTTATAATGATGCCAGAAGAATGGTGTAGAATAAGCGGCGCTATTGATTAAATAGAGGTAGAACAGTGAGTGCCAGCCCACTAGTGGCAGAGGTGTAGCCATCTTTCCAATCATGGCAGACAGGCATCTGACTCATGAGAGTCTCTCCTTATTTATTCTCAGGTGCAAATATAATTAAGTGCCTCATCTTTATTTCAAAGGATCCATGGCTTAACATACTGTATACCATACCATGATCATAATACTAGGAACCAATTTTTATTAATAATCCCACAACACAGACTAACCTTAACAAACAAAAGCTATGCACTATAGCAATTAAATTGTTCAACTGGGAACTGGATCTGAATAACTATATCAAAAGTATTCTACTGGGAAGTATATTAGGTCCACTGTTATTTTTAATTTATATCAATGTTGATATCAAGGGCCAATGTGACAGTCACCTATTTTTGCTGATTATGCCCTTATATATTTTTCTAGAAAATATCAAGATAAATTAGTAATAAGTTGTTAATAAAACTTTGCAAAATATTTATAAATGGTGTTATAATAATTTAATAAAAATCAATACAAATAAAACTGATAAGTAATAACTATGAACTATATGCAGTTTGTAGATAATCAATATACTTACACAATTGAAGGAAATTCAATACAGTTTATATACAGGGTGTTTCTTAACTACGGTAGGAAACTTTAAAGGGGGATTCCTTAGGTCATTTTATGAAAAAAAGTTCCTATAAACATATGTCCGGAGTTCTTTTGTTTCTTAGATACAGTGTTAAAGTTAAAAAAAATAAAAAAAATTGAGTATATTATAAATATCATACCTAAACCTTATTTGAAGTAATAAGGCGCTTATTTAGCCCTAACTAGATTTAATTATTGGGTCTAGTGGCGTCTTAGTGGGCACCACAGTCAATATTATTGAGAAAAAAAAAGTCCGCCACTTAATTTTTTTGTAGTTTTATATTTTTTTCAGATTAAGCAACTAAAATACAACTTTTTGTTCTCTTGTGTTTTCATAAAAACCAAAAATTCAAAATAGACAATTTCGACCTTAAAGTAAATGAGCAAAATGACAACCTGATAAAATACACAACTGCAACCGATTTGTCATTGATTGCCTGACACATTTAAAAATACCTGGAGTATTCCTTATGACATTGCAATTGTCAATTATCCAATTTCTTAAGACATTCTCATCTACTACAGTTTTATAAACAAGAGCCTTCAGGTTACCCCATAAATAAAAATCTAGAGGATTCATATCAGGACTGTGAGCTGGCCAATTTTTAGGTCCTGCAAGTCCAATCCAGCAATTAGGGTAGGGGATGTTGAGATGCTGACAAGCAAGAACACTAAAATTAGCTTGAGCTTCGTCGTGCATAAACCACATGTTCGCTCTTACATGTAAGGGTACATCTTCTAACAAAATGGGTAAATGATCTCGCAAAAACTCCTTGTAGGATTCATCTGTTAATCTTGCTGGTAAAAAAATGGACCAATTAGGTAGTCATCAATCATTCCTACCCAAATGTTCAAAGAAAATTGTTGTTGAAAATGACTTTCTCTAATAACATGGGGATTTTCATCGGTCCAAAAATGGTCATTGTGACCTAAGGGATCATCCTCTGAAGTTTCGTAGCTTAGTTAGGAAATACCCTGTACATTATACAGTGAGCATCATAAGTCATACCCCCCCTAACTTACTCGTTACTGGAGTCTTGTTAGGAAAATCGCCGAGACAGGTCGATTTTTGTTTTCTAGAATGGTCATTTTTGTATGATTAGTTTACCCTTAGTTTCATCCCTTACTGGAGGGGAACAACCCTTTCGAAAAATTTAAATGGCATGGGGTGGTGAGTGATAGCTCATTTGAAAGGGGGTTTTATTCTCTATTCAACCGTGCAAAAAAATTTTAAATTTGCTTCATTACGTGTTGATTTATTAATGTTTAAAAATAACAAAACCTCACAAAATAGGAGAGCAACTAAACTAATAGTGACTTTCTAATGGCAAAAAGTCTTACTTCACGTCTGAACCAAAACCGAAATCATGCAGGGCCGAATTTTAATTCTAAGGACGAGTGCGCTACGTTAATTTCCGTTATTCTGAAACAACAATTAGTCGAGAATTAATGAAGCAAATTTCAAATTTTTTTACATGGTTGAATAGAGAATAAAACCCTCTTTCAAATGAGCTATCACTCACCACCCCATGCCCTTTAAATTTTTCGAAAGGGTTGCTCCCCTCCAGTAAGGGATGAAATTAAGGGTAAACTATTCATACAAAAATGTACACTGTAGAAATCAAAAATCGACGTGTCTCGGCGATTTTCCTAACAAGACTCCAGTAACGAGTTAGATAGGGGGGGGGGGTAAGACTTATGGTGCTCACGGTATATATATTATGTTTGGAATATCATTTTTATCACCCTGGAGAAAATTCTGTTACTAATTACTATTGTTATTCGAATGAATGATTTTTCAGTGTAACAGCCATAAAAAGAAAAATTCCCCAGTTAACTGTAGTTCCTGTACAGTCTACAAACATTCCTCCCAAAGAAATAGTTCTTTATACTAAGCAGACTCAAACTACTACTTCTGGGCATCATGATGTTAGAGATGGTAAGTGAATTTTTGTTTGTAATAAAAATATATTTTTGAATAAAAAAAATAAGTATCTGATTTAAAAGTTTAATAATTACGAAGTACTATTTTTATTGACTGATGTCAAATATTAATAAAACTTATTTATAAAATTGGTATATCATATCAAGCCAGCCAAGGGGACACAGTGGATTCTTCAATAACTTTTTTAGATATAAACTAAATTTAAATTTAGGTAATTTTAAACTGATTTTTTTGGCAGAAGTTTCGAGCAAAATAAGTAACAATGAAATATTTTTGTGAAAACTATACAATAAAAAACATTAACTTACTGTAATGTGGACAAAATGTTAATTTTGACCTTTGAAAATATCACGTTTTATCCATTATAGATTACTTCTTCCTCTTGCTGATAATTATTAAAACATTTTAATATTTATTTTTATGGGAATCCCCAATAAAGATTTTATTTGATTGATTCCAATTAAAATAATTTTTATTATAGAATTAATTATTTATTTTTTAATTTGGTTCTATTATTTTCTTAAAAGTAAAAATTTGTGATTTGGTGGCTCAAATTTTTCATTTAGTTTTTTTTTATTTATACATGGAGCTTTGGGCTTTTCTTGTAATGTATTTCTAGAGTTTTTTTGGCGGTTCCTTTTAGGGGTTTCTTTGTTTTCAAATCTCTTAGTTGCACTTGATAAATGTTTTAAAAACTGATTTCTTTTTAACTTTTGGTGCCGCACAAGTTTTTGGATATTGGAAAAAGTCGTGTGAGTATATATAGTTGGCCAGTTTTTAGTTCATTTTTCAAGCTTTGTTTTTTAATTTAGATTATTTTTAGATTTCATATTTGTTGCTTTAAATTTCTTAGATGATTTGGGTAATTATTTTCTTTATCTTGCCATCATTTCACAATGTTTTTTTTTTTTTTTTAATTTTGTAAAATGAAAATAAAATTATTGTCATAATTATTTTTAAGTTGTTATTATGACAACTTGTGGATAAATTAGTTATTTTAGAATACAATATTGAATGTGTGTTGAAAATATAATAAGAAATGGCATTAGAGAGGCTGATTTATAAATAATGACAGTTTTCTTTTGTAATGTATTAATAATTTAAAAGACATAAAACTTGGGTGAAAATGGACTGCCTATGAGGATTCCTCATTGCACAATTATTATTTTAGATCTCTCAATAATTCTCTTAAAATAATACAAAAAAAGGTAATTACATTTTTTGAATTAGAGTTTGATTTCTATAATTATTTAAAATTTTGAATTTAAATTAGTAAATTATTAACTAAACAATAAATGCAATTATGTTTTGGAGTAAATGGAATTATTGCAATTATTCATAGAAATAATTTTAATATTAAAAAATTAATTTATGTGGTGTGAGCCACCGGTTAACGCCTTATAGTTAGAGCTAATTAAAAAAAAATGTTTTTACAGCGAGATGTATATCAGAAAATGCAACAATTTAAAAAATCAATTATACAGGGGATTCTAGTAAAATGATATACATCAAAGTTAGTTTTTGTTTAATTTTGATTTAAGTTTGAATTGCACTCCCTTTTCTAATTATAACAATGCCAAATCAGCCAATGGCCCAAACCGATTCTATAACTAGTTTTCGAGGTACAAACATCGAAAATGCCACTTTTTTCTAAGCTTAGTTCTCATAACACACCTATTTTATTCGCGTTTGTTGTGAAAAACATGAATTATAGATTATGTAACAGTAATATTTTGTAAAAAGTTACTGTAGACATTCATTAATTACAGGGTGATTCGGAAATAAGAAATATGGTTTTTTGAAAACATCATTTTTTTATGACAGCGTTAAAAATATGAACAATTATCATTGTACCATGAAAATATATTTTAAGTAATTGCTTCTTGATGATACATCATATTTTATGCAGGATGACTCATAAATGTGGTTACAGAGGTCATATAATGTTTTTCGGCTTAACGAGTCACCCCGTATAAACGATGTGTCCTGAATTTTTAATATAATATTAAATAAATGTAAGACCTTTCACTCTATGTCATACAAGGTGTTAAACCGGTTACAAAAACTTTAAAAATTAAAAAAGCAGTTTTTTGTGCAACACCCTGTATTTTAAATGCTTCTCCGTCAATTTTATAAATTGTTACATATTTACACTAACAAAAGTTCAGTATATAACAGCAAAATTTTGTTTTGCTTTGTTGTTTACATTAAACATTAAAAATTAAAGATCGAAGATTAAAGCTCAGCAGTCAGTAATTATTGCTTTATAGATTAATGAAGGGGTGTTAAATATCTCAAGATCGTTATGAGTGTTGTCTAATCTTAACATTCTTAGAATACAGCTGCTAAAAGTATGGTTTAAACGATAAAAAGGTCGAGTTGAGCGCGTTGGAACATAAAGATTTATTTTTGTTAGAAGTTCAGTACAGCTGCATCTGCCATTGATAATTTTGAAAAGTAATGTCAGGTCTCTCGGTTTCCTCCTAGTTTTCAAAGAGGGGATGTTTAGAAAATTCTCTATCAAATCATACTCGCATACACGCCCAATTTATAGGCTATGTATCTAAGAAATTTTTGTTGCACATTTTCTGTTTCTGCTGTGCGTTATGTAATGTGGAGACCAGACAGACGAGCAATAATCTAGGTGAGGTCGGACTAGTGAACAAAGGATTTTAATTGCAGTTGTGTCAGTAAAAACATGTGTTAGCCTTTTGATAAAACCTAACATTTACGTGGATTTATGCATAGCCTTAGGTATGTGTTGCTTGAAGCTTAAAGTGGGATCTAGAATAACTCCAAGGTATTTAATTTGATTAACAGACTCCAAGATATGACCATTTAAGTTATTATCAAAAGTAGTAGTTGGTACATGGGATCGATAAAAGCGCATGACATGGCACTTTATAGCATTCAAGTCCATGCCATTTAAGGAACATCAGTTTGATAGATTATCAAGGTCAGACTAAAGCCAGAGGCCATCATAAATGGTTATAATAATTAGGAAAACGTTTAAATCATCTGCAAACAATAGTGCTTTGCCATACTGAAAACAATGAATGATGTCATTTATAAATAAGTTGAATAATAAGGGACCAAGGTGTGATCCTTGAGGAACACCTGAGATAACTTGAAATGAGTTAGAATAGTGATGGTTTTTTTTCTCTCCTGGGCTCGTCTGTCTCCGAATAACACTGAAGCCTATTGGCTTATTTTGTTTTACCCCATGTTAGTTCATAGCACCCACTCTGTCACCTTTGTACCTTGTATAAGTTTGTACAGATCCTTGGGTGAGTGGGTTCTATATACGTTGTTGGATCAACCTGGGATTGTCCAAAAAGTGCCTGTCTTTTGCGATCTAGAGCTTCGCATTCGCACAGTATGTGTTTGGCCGTTTCTGGTTTCTTGTGACATAGTCGGCACATGAGTTCCCCATTGTACATGCTAATTTTGTTCAAGTGTCCCTTTACGGAGCGTGCCCAGTCAAGAACCCTGTTATCACTTTCAACTGGTTCCTATCATAAAGAGTTGTTCTCCAGTTCTTTTGGGACATGGTCTGCCTATGAAGGCTTTTCCATGTGCCTGTTTTGGGGTGCTTCCCCAAAAGTTAATATGTTGTTCCCGAATCCAGTCGTTTATGAAACCCCGGACTGTACTTTTTGGTTCCGGTGTTTCTTCTGACCCTCTTTTTGCAAGTTCGTCAGCCTTTTCGTTGCCTTCGATTCCTTGGTGACCTGGCACCCAAAATAGTTTTACTCTATTTCGGTCTGCCAGTGTTCTTAGTTCTTCGATGCATTCCCATACCAGCCTCGACGTAACTTTCTGACTCGATATGGCCTTAAGTGCCCCTTGGCTGTCTGACATTATTTGAATATGCTGATTTTCGACAGCTCTTTCAATGTATTCCTATAGCATAGCTATGGTTAGTAGCAGGATTTTTGGAGAATTCTCCCGCCCCAGTGCCTTCCGCAGTCTTAGACCCGTCTGTATACCAGGTTTGTTCCTGTCGTTGGGCATTGGGCTCCCTTATGGTGATCTCCTCTCTTTCCTGATGGTTTACTCTAACCATTTGAGTTGTGTTTGTAAGATAGCTACTATTCCATTGCAGTACGACCCCATTTATGCCATATGTAGCGAGCTTTTGAAGTAAGAGAGAATGGTTGACCCTGTCAAACGCCTTAGAAAAGAGTGTACACAGAATCAATCTGGCAACCCTTCTCCAAAGCTTCTGACAGAAAGTCGACGTAGGTGACTAGATATAATTCAGTCGATTTCCCAGCACAAAAACCATATTGATGATCCGTTATGATGCCAGAGCAGTCATAGGTAAGGTTGTTATAATGTTCTCAAAAACCTTAGGTATAGTACTGAGAATAGATATAGGTCGGTAATTTTTGACGTCTGACTTGCTACCCGATTTGTATATTGGGGTGACATAAGATAGTTTCCAATAATCTGGAAACTCACCCGTGGCGATAGATTTATTGAAAATATGGAAGAGAGGGCGAGACAATACGAAGCTGCAATTTATGAGTAGGATGGGAGGAATAATGTCAGGGCCTGGACCTTTCTTTATGTCAAGATTAGATAATTTCTCGTAAATGGTCGAAATAGGAATGTGGTAAGAGGAAACATTAAGTTTTGATTCAATATCGTTAAAATTTTGATTTAGATTTTGATTAGTATAAACTGATGAAAAATATTTGGCAAACAGATTTGATACTTCATTGCCACAAGAAGCAAAGGAGTCTTCAAGGTTCATATTATCAGGTATGGTGTTATTAGATCTTTGGGTACTTACAAAATTCCAAAAGGCTTTAACATTACTTTTAACAGAAGTTTCAACAGAATGTATGTAATTTGAATAGCATTCTCTGAATATTTCGTTTTTTTTATTATTTTTTTTTTAAGTTGAAGAAACATTTAAAATGCAGGGTGTTGCACAAATAACTGCTTTTCTAATTTTTTAAATTTTTTACACTCGGTTACATAGAGTG